GCGATGGAGAGAGTAAAAAAGGCACTCTCCCTCTTCATGTTCATATAAGTCTTTTATTTATGTAATTTTTTATCATAAAAATAATGATTGCCGCCTTCAATTTTTTTAAAATATTTAATTGTAAATATCATTTTTGTTGTTTCAGTTACATAAATAATTTTAACTTGAAAAAGCATTACGCTTACAATTTTACCCCTTTTACAAAATATTTTAGCTCCTCAGTTTCATATAAATAAACCTTTCCTAAATTTTATAGGCTTATTCTTACAATAAATTATTCATGCATTTTTTTTTGTCTCATTGTATATCAGTGTTTGAACAATCATATATCACTACGTCATTTAAAAGAAAATGACTTTTGATGTAGTTATGGTAAGATTTAAATTTTTTTATCGTGTCAATAATGCATGATTGGATAATGATATATAATTTTTTTATTGCATTTAAATTATATTTTTTAAACTGCTTTTAATACTTATACATGATTAATCACAAAATGAGGTGGGTTATTAAATAATAAGTGGTGCTGGCTCTTGGCTTGGGCAAAGGAAAGTGATTAGTGTACAAGGAGGAAAAATTTATACTGGTCCTGCCTCTACATGTTCCTTCTATAGTTTTATTAAGAGATTGACATTTGTATAATTTTTTTTTAATTCTTTTCTCTCTCCTCTTTCCTGATTAGTTATCATATTTTTATTGATTTGAACCACTTAAAATTTAATGACTGAGGTGCAGCAAAACTCTTCTTGTACATGGAATGGGTTGGTCAGTCCATAAAAAATGGGTTGGCTTATCAGGCTAGACATTTTTCATGTACTATTTTCAATTACAATAATCATTAAATGATATTATAGGTTATTAAGATGTAAGTGAAACCAAATTTAATGCTAATGTCTCATAACTTTTCTTCTACAAAACATTAACAGCAACAATGGAGCTGAGATTAAGCAAGTTATGTATAAAAATGAGATTGGTTAACAACAGAAAAAGGACTGAAAAAGCCATTATGATGTTTGGAGATGGCAGGGGCCAGAAAGAATTCGCTTTTTTCTTTGGTTAATGGCAGGGGAGAAGCTGATGACTAATGTTTGTAGACTCCGCCGTCATATGGCTCTTTCAGATCTGTGTCCTAGATGTAATCAGTCTAGTGAAACTATCCTTCATACTATTCGCGACTGTCCACAATCAAAGGAAGTATGGTGCATGATAATGCCTCATATAAATCAGCGTGAATTTTTCAACCTCAACCTGCACAATTGGATCATTTCTAATTTAGACAGCTCAAAGGATTGGGGGATGGGGTCAGACTGGCCTCTTTTATTTGGAATCTTAGCCTGGAAAATTTGGAAATGTAGGAATTCTTGGGTTTTTGAAGGTGATCGCCAGAATGCTTATTCACTTATCCGTTCAGCAATTGGTTTCAGAGATAGTGTCGCTCTTGCAGCTAACCCTGTTTTTGGAGCGGGCAATCAACCAAGGAATCGAATAGAGAGATTGGTTGCTTGGTGTTGTCCTCCTGTGGATTGGGTTAAGCTTAATGTTGATGGTGCATGTGATGCTAATGGTACTAGGACTGGGTGTGGAGGAGTTTTTCGCGATGCCTCAGGAACTTGGATCGTCGGATTCTGTAAAAATTTAGGCTCAGGTACAGTTTTGCATGCTGAGTTATGGGCTTGCTTGGTTGGTTTGGAGCTAGCTTGGGATAGAGGTTTTAGGCAAGTTTGGCTCGAAGGAGATTCTCTTTCAGCTCAACAGCTCATTACAAATGGGTGCCACCATGATTACCCTGCGGCTAATTTGGTGAATCGTATTCGAAATTTGATGCAGCGAGATTGGCAGATTTATATGTCTCACATTCACCGTGAAGGAAATAGAGTAGCGGACTTTCTAGCCTCTTACTCTTATGGTTTCTCTTGGGTAATTCAGAAATTTGATTGTCCACCGTCAGGTTGTATTGATAGTCTGTATGGTGACACTATAGGTGTTCACTGGTCTAGGCTTTGTGCCTAGTTTCTTTTTGTTGTGTTTTTGTTTTAATTTTCTATTATTTCCAAAAAAAAAAAAAAAAGCCATTATGATTAATCTAATGGTGAGAGATTTTGATGGGTTGTATTAGATTATATGTTGAATTTTCATATATATATATATATATATATATATATATATATATATATATATATATGGGATAGGATCAACTTACACTGGTGTAAGAATAATAAATCTTACACCAATTCTTAATCGTTGATTTTCGTACATCTAACGATTGAGATTTATTGGGAATAAAAAATTAATTAATAAATGAGACCTAATAAATCTTAACCGTTAGATGCAGAAAATCAATGGTTAAGATTTGGTGTAAGACTTATTATTCTTACACCGGTGTAAGACTTATATATATAAGGGACTGAAATCAAATTTCCATAAGCTAACAAATGATAATAGAATACATGGTTCAATAAGTTGTTCGTTGTTTAGGCCTGCTTCCCTAACAACAACAATTTTTTTTATATATATTTATATAAATTTTTATATTTGATTTATAACTTCTATTACTTAGTATATACATTTTATTCTTTAATTAATAATTTCAAAAATAACAGGGTTACTCACAATATTAAACCATATACATTATGTTTACCAAAAAAAAAAAAAAAACCATATACATTACATCACCACGCCATGCGAGTGAAGGCCCACTTATTAATATTCAAATTCGAAATCACGCCAACAATGTCAACCAAATAAATGAGTTTACAAGATTCCATTTTTAAAAGGAAAATATCTATTGGGTCACCAATAAGGTTGAATACCTCCTGGACCTGCTGTGCTGTCTGATAATTTAATAAACTTCAACCATCCGAGCATTGGCAGCTCATAATTAGAAAGTTGAAACGTATTTCGGTGTAATTTTTTTATTTATCATAAATATTTAACTGAGCAGATTTATAATATATATAGTTATATATTTAAATGAAGGGAAATTATTTTTTCCTTTTAAATGAGAAATTTTTTCTCATGTTAGTGACTCATAACATAAGTGGGTCTCACCTTGAAACTTTTTCTTTCTCCACTATTTTGTGGGCCTCACTTATATTATGAGTCACTAGCATGATAAAAAATTTCTCCTTAAAAAAAAGAAAATATTTTCCCTTAAATGAATGATAATATTGGAAAAACAAAATTAGATAATAAAATTGAACCTAAAAAAATTAGATGCTAAAGTGGGAATTCACCAAATAGTATAGAAATAGAGATATATTTTTTCTTATGTTGTAAGAAAAAAATTATCTCATGTTGTAGAAATAAAAGTATAAGTGAGACTCACAGATAAGAGGAGAGAGAAAAAAGAGTAATGGGACCTAATTTTCTTTTTATGTGTGTAGAAGAATTATTTATCTCATATAAAATAAGATAAACATAACCCATATAAATATAGGGAGTTATACTTCTTCTCCCAGAGGAGAATAAAAACTTCTCCAATTGATACTTCGATTTCCACACTAATCCTTTTTTTTCCTTTGGTCCTGTATGCTTCCTTCCCTCTGCGGCTGTAGATGAGGGCTTTTCCTGCAATAGAAGAGCCTATTTAACCATAAATATATCTTTTTATACAAGGTATTCACAGTCTGAATTGAATCAGTTTTGAAAACAAAAATTATTCGATCCAATTCTTTTAATTTGATCATGTAAACAATAATATAGTTTTTTTTTTTGGGTTTATTGATGAGTTAACAGTTCTTGGGTTTAGATATTTTTGAACTATGATAGAAGAAAGACGCAAGTAAGTAGAAGGAAATTAATATATTGGATCAATTTTCATCAATCAATCCGAAAACTGATTCAATCCAATTAAAATTTGTGATTTTTTTTTCGATTTATAATTTTTTGGTTCAGTTTCTGCAGTTTGAATCGATTTGGATCGGTTGATCAACACCGCTATTCCCGTGTATCTATTACGTCGCAGGTAACTTTATATTCAGCAATATTCAAATTCAATATCACATCAACCAAATAAACCATAAAATGAATGCAATAAATTCCACTAAAATGAAAAATATCTATTGGGTGGCCAATAATGTATGAGGAGACAAAAAAACACCGATCCAATGATTTTCTTAGCTACCATCAATCTTCCAAGCATGGCAGATAATAAATTAGAAAGCTTCATACCATATAATTTATCTTAATATGTATAGTTAAATTCATATTATAATATTAACAATATTTAATATATAATAAATGTAAAAAATAATTTTGTTAATGTTTTCTTTAATAAATTCATCTAAATTGATAAATTCTATAAAATAATAACATTATTAAATAATTTAACAACATATTGTTACATATACATGTAATTTCTTTTTCATTTTTATTTAATAAAAATTAAATTTTAATTAAAAGAAAAGATAACAATATGAAAGCAACAAACATTAATAATTGAAGCAAGATACAAATATATATATATATATATATATATATATATATATATATATATATATATATATTTGGTAACAAGCAAGATATTTATCTTTATACGATAGGCGATTGATTGAGAGCAGCAGTTAAGAATCTTTGACTTTAGAATCTTTAGGAGGATGATTCATATCTGTTTCACTTTATTTTAGTATGAGTTAGTGTTAATTTATTTATGTATAAAAAAAAGCGTTAATTTATTTTGAAGAAAATATTTACTTTTTAATTTTTTTTTATGAAATTAATTTTAAAAATATTTTTATAACAAATTAAAGAAAACATGTATATTTTAAAGAAGGTTATTATAAACAAATAATTATTTTCTTAAAAAAAAATGTAATTGAGAAATACAATTTAATAAATTGGAGGTGGCAGGCCAGCTATGACTTACGACAAGAAAGCGAGGCAAGGAAGGTCCCACAGAGAAACTTCATGAATGTATTATGTATGTAACCAAAAAACTGGAATCTATAGAAATCCAAATCCACACGTTACAATTACCTCTCGCTTTCTTATTTAATCTTTCTTCACTTGCGCTTCACTTCACCAATCGCTATGGACCCTTTTCCAATGCCTACACTCCTATTTCTCATCGTCATCGCGACCTTCCTTGCCCTCGTCTCCGGTGGCCGTGACCTCGCCGGAGATCCTCTCCGATTGCCCTCACAAGCCTCCAGATTCTTCCGCGAACCTGAGAACGATGACAACGTTCAGGGGACTAGGTGGGCCATTTTACTTGCTGGTTCCAATGGCTACTGGAATTACAGGCATCAGGTCCGTTTCTTTTCTTATATCTATACATTTGATCTTTGATGATTTGAATTCATCATTTTATTTCCTTTCTTTTATTTTATTTTTTAATAATTCTAATGATTTCAAAGTAGTCCCTTACTTGTAGTGGTGTATGAAAACATGATGGAATGAAGTAGGACATGCATATATTAGTATGTTGCTGTTTGAGTAATTCAGCTTGGATAAGAACTTATTATGTGTGTTCACGGTAACTTGTTGACTTTATAATATAAATCATTAAAAAGTTTTTCAACCGATGACTTAAAATTTTGAGTTGGAATGATTCTTTACATGTACGAGAGCTTGTGATTAAAGGTCACGAATTCGATCTCACCTCTTTCACTTTCTAGTGGAACCAGACATTTCAAGTCTCAAAACCATCTTGCTGTGTTAGATAATAATATAAATCATTGAAAAAAATCCATGCTTTAACATTTTTGGGTTAAATTGATTCTTTGCACTGTTATTACTAGTTCTCTTCGAAATCGGAATATACCAACCCAAGCTGTTCACTTTTAAAGGGGGTGCATGGTTGGGTTTGGTTTTTTATACCGAACCTTCAACTGAATCAGTAGGGGTGTTAAACGAACCAGGAGCCTTTTAGAGGCATTTGGCTCGGCTAGTGAAGGCTTGAGCTTATATGTCTAAAATTAGTTATTGGCACCATGCTTGAACTTGTATAAAAGCTCCTTTAATAAAAAGGTTTAAGTTCACATTCAAAAGTTCAGCCTAAAGCCTCTCAAGCTGGTCCAATATATTATGTTTTATTTTTATTTTATATTACTTGTAATAGTCTTCTCTTTCTCCTCAATCTATTTCATCCTATTTTATTGGTTAAACAGACTTCTTGAATGATTTTGTTCTATATTATACTGTTTGGATATACATTGAATTTATGAATATTTATAGAATTACTAGTGTTGTTGATTGTATATTTTCTTTAGATACATTTTTGTTGTCTTATTTTTTGTTAAACAGTGTAACAGGCTAAATCAGATTTTTATTTTTTATAAATAAGCCAGGCCACCATAGGCCGATAGTAATTATATTGATAATTATATTTATAACAGGTAACAGGCTTGGTCAAGCTAGCACATTTAAACACAAGCTTAATTTAAACACAAATTTAACCTTTTAAGACCAATTTAAACACAAACTTAACCTTTTAAGACCAAAGCTCGACTCGCCCCTGTGAATCAGTTTTAAAAAGTGGTTCGGTTTTTTAAATCGGTTTGGAGAAGTTATGTTCATATGATTTTTTCGCACTCCTAAAAGTGGATATGGTTGTTATAGTTCTTAGCCAGAACCAAATTGAATGGAAGTGATTCGATTCTTAAAACCTGTTCAAAGAAATGGTTTGGTTCTTGAAACGGGTTAAAAAAATGTGGTTTTTTGGTGTAGTTCGGATGAGTTCACTCGTTCAGTTCTGTTCATTTAGTTTTTTTCACACCTCTACTTTTAATTTAAGGTTAAAATATGTTTTTGTTCCTATACACGACACTCTATTTAATTTTCGTCTCCATATATATATTTTTTGTCAATTTAATCACTATATATACAATCATCTCCATCATCTATTATCGTTATAACGTTGTGATGTTGACATGGAGTTATGGTGAAGAATAAGGGAAAATGGCATGGCGTATAGGGGGACCAAAAATATAATAATTCTGGTATCTCATTCATTTTCAATTTGGTTCTTACACTTCACTGTTATAACTCCAATAGATTGTATTATAACAGCAACAGATGGTGAGGACCAAAATTGAAAAACAACTGTACGTATATGGACTGAATTGAGATTTTTTTTTCATATAAGGATCACGTTGAAATTGAGTGTCACACTGTCACGCATCCAATATAGTTTAACTTAAATTCAATTTATCGTTTTCTATATGTATTTAGTTGTTTAGTTTTAATGTTGAGCTTTTGTTGTTTCATCAGGCTGATGTTTGTCATGCATATCAAACACTGAGAAAAGGTGGCCTGAAAGAAGAAAATATTATTGTTTTTATGTACGATGACATTGCTTTCAATGAAGAGAACCCGAGGCCTGGAGTAATCATAAACAAACCAGATGGGGATGATGTTTATGAAGGAGTTCCGAAGGTAAGTTATGTTAGATTTTTGGCATCCCATATCCTATTCTATTTCAAGTTTGATGGTGTCCTAATATGGACTTTTTTTTTTTTCCAATGGCAGGATTACACTGGCGAATATGTTACTGCTGACAACTTTTTTGCTGCTTTACTTGGAAATAAGTCAGCTCTTACAGGTGGCAGTGGGAAGGTTGTAGATAGTGGCCCCAATGATCATATATTTATATACTATACTGATCACGGAGGTCCAGGGGTGCTTGGTTAGTAGCTCTGAATTCTTTCACAAAAACTATCTAATGATTGACATGTATAGTATAGGTTGTATGTATGTGTTTCAGCATCTTTTTTGAGGTTATTACTGACAAAAGTGTGTTTATTGTTGGTTTTTGGTTGATTGTTTGTTTATTTGCTTAATTATGTCGTAGTAGAATGAAACCTCTTTAATATTTTAGCATTACCTATGATTTTGACATAGTGGAGCTTGTATTCTCGGTATTTTCAGCACAATAAACTGACAATTGCAAACAGATAAATGATGTATCTGGATTGAATAAAATATTTCAAAATTGTATTCATTTGTTGGATATTTTTGGATCTCTAAAATAGTCTTAAGTACTTAATTTGGGTTGTGTTTTGTGCTGCTGTATTGTCATAAGGATGAAGGGTGAAATGAGAAACTTGGTATTATGCTTCAAAGCTGGACAATATAACATTTGTGGCCCCAACTAGTTTGGGATAAAAGTGATGTTGATGTTGATTAAGGGTACATTATCTTATGATCTAAGCACCTATTCAACAAATGGTTATACTATACATTCATCATGTCTAATACAACTTTGATTGATAATGGTGACATTGCAAAGTGTACTGAATTGAATATCATGCAATGTTGTTTTGTAATCCAAGTTTACCATTATATCAGATTGTGACCCTTTTGCTTGAGACATTTTTTCCCATGATGCAGTTGATTGAATGGGCTTTCTGTTTTTCTTTTTGATTTCTTTTTCAATATATGCGGGTAACATGAAGAGTAAATTATAGTCACCACGGGAAAAGGAAAAAAAGAAGAGGGAGTGAAGTGAAATATATGGTCTTCATTGTTTTTGCTGTCCATTTTATCTTGATTTGTGATCATTATTTCTTCTCTTAACATTGTCTTCGATTGTCACATGACAAAATGTTTCTTCCAACCAATGATATGTGCTCCTTTCTCTTTCTTGTTTGGTCTTTTTTTGGGACACGGGGGTGGATTTTAGGGATGCCTGTTGGTCCTTACTTGTATGCATCTGATCTGATTGAAGTCTTGAAGAAGAAGCATGCTTCAGGAACGTATAAAAGTCTAGTAAGTTAATAGTAATTATGATTTTTATATATTTTGTATCAATCCCTGTTCGGGCTTTTGGTAATAGCATGTTTGGATTTATTATTTCTGGGTATTTTTTTTTCTTTTCAAAAGCTCTAACAAAAAGCTTTTGGCTATTCAGCTGTTTTGAACACAAAATAAGTTAATCCAAACGCACTAAACCTTTGGATTTATATAATGATGGTGCAGGTATTTTATCTGGAAGCATGTGAATCTGGAAGTATCTTTGAAGGTCTTCTTCCTGAAGATATCAATATCTATGCGACAACAGCTTCAAACGCAGAAGAAAGCAGTTGGGGAACATATTGCCCTGGGGAGTATCCTAGTCCTCCTCCAGAATATACAACCTGCTTGGGTGACTTGTACAGTGTTGCTTGGATGGAAGACAGGTATGTGCATAATAAGGAAACATAATTCGATCATAAATAAGATTATTTTACTTGAATATCTAAAATTGAGTGGATTCTCTGTCTCATATAGACCACACATAATCTATATAATATTAGTGTTGGAATATTCTAACAAATTTGGTGCAATACATATACCCGTCCAATCACCATGGAGTAGTTCAATGCATGTGACTGCTTTGTTGTGTGTGTCTCTCTATGAGAGTTGTATATAACTATTGTCTGTACTTTGAAACACATTTTTTATTATAAATTATTCTCTCTCTTTTTTCTTGCACTTGCACCTTTTTTTATTTTTTATTGTCAGATCAGAAGAATTTATTATTTCTTTTAATAAGTAATGTTGTAAGTTTTGTATGGACTAATTTAATTTTTCTTTACTTGTGAGCAGTGACGTACACAATTTGAGAACAGAAACTTTGCACCAACAATATAATTTGGTAAGTTCCTGATGCTAACTTGATTTGATTGTTTTAAATCAACTGATATAAATTGAATAATGTAATTAAATACCTTGATTTCTTAATTACATGTGAGAAATTTAGTCTTTTTTATATTGAATTTTTGGTCTAATTTTACGAGTCAAACATTTGTAGAAGATGTGTTAAGTGGTGTGGCAGATGCCTTAATTTATTCCTGTGCTTACAGGTTAAAGATAGAACTATCAACGGTCTATACTATGGCTCTCACGTGATGCAGTATGGTGATGTAGGGCTTAGCAAGAATCATCTCTTCCTATATTTGGGTACAAATCCTGCTAATGATAATTTAACTTTTGTGGATGAAAACTCCTTGAGGTTACCTTCAAAAGCAGTCAACCAACGGGATGCGGATCTCATCCATTTCTGGTATAAGGTATCCTATGTGTGCAATATTTTTCTTTATCTTATGAATTAGTTGCTTAATCTTGTGCTTGTCATGATTTTTCTTTCAAATTTAATGTTTTTGGTATATACATAGTTGGGATATTTTTTATGATTAAAGAGAACCAGAATCTTATGACTGTAAATTAATGAAGATTGGAGGAGAAATTCAGTGTCAATCAATGAGGATATCTGATAATCGGAACATACAATATTGTTGCTTAAGTTAATGTACCTGAGTATTGAATGAGAGTAGAAGCGTAAGAGTTGATGAATGGGATACCATAACCAGATATTTTGAGTACTTGTAAGAGTTGTTTGCTTATTATTTTTATCTTCTTTACTTTATCTTCACTTTTCATTGCCAGTTTCGCAGAGCTCCTGAGGATTCTCCTAGGAAAATTGCAGCTCAGAAAGAAGTTCTGGAAGCAATGTCTCACAGAATGCATATAGACAACAGCGTGAAACTTATTGGAAAGCTCTTATTTGGCATTGAAAAGGGTCCAGAAGTGCTCAACACTGTTAGACCTGCTGGGTTAGCACTTGTTGATGACTGGGACTGCTTGAAAACCATGGTACTATTTCTCATGATTCAGCTTCATCTTTTCTGATGCTGATATAGTGAATAGAATTTTTTATTTTTAATAAAAATTAGATTCATTGCTTTTCTGCTTGATCCTTGGAGCAATGATGAAGTTGTGCCTTGTGATGGGTTCTAATTGTGTAAATAACCTCTCCGCTTGTGAACCCTTTTATTGCTTTCTTGCTTGTCACTAATTATGTAGTTCACATAGTTATAGTATGAGACCTTAACAAGGGCAAACATTGTTGAACTTGATTCCTGTTTAGCATCTTCTTTTCACTTTTGTTTATGATAAAAAGCTGCTCCTTAATCTATTTTTAATGCAGGTAAGGACTTTTGAGGCACATTGTGGATCCCTGTCTCAATATGGGATGAAACAAATGAGGTCCTTTGCAAACATCTGCAATGCAGGAATACAGAAGGAGCAAATGGCTGAGGCCTCGGCACAAACTTGTGTCAGTATTCCTGCCAGTCCCTGGAGTTCTCTGCTGAGGGGTTTCAGTGCATAACTCATAAACTGCAAACTAGTAAAGACCAAAGTATAATTGTTGTTACATTATGTTTTATGGTTGTAAATACATGCTGTAATCTGGTCATTTAGCCTCTGTAAATCCAATTTGGAACACTACTAGGACGGTGGGGATCCTCTTTAGTCTTTACATTTTAGTTTTGTAAATAGATGCTGCAATGACGTTTGTAATGCACTTATGGGTTGTATCATTCCAAGAGAAGAAATTACTTGGGGTTGTAAATATATGTTTATTTTTATTCAGTAGGCACTGTGGCAGATCGGGTCTTCTATTGTAGAATTATTTTAGAAGAATGTAATATTTGATACAAGATTATTGTTTAATATTAATGTTGAAATTGATTTTCTTTTTGTAGAATATTGGGAGTATGGGACTATTACTTTGGTACCTTTACAGCAGAGTTATTACAACAAAATATGGCTATTTTATTACCTTACGATTATTTTGTTGATGTTTTTTGTTATCTAGAGTTGTGTATAATAGTTATTTGAAAGACAATTTAAAATGTGGATCAGATAAAAATAAGATTCTCTTGTTGCATTTTATTGAAATGAGTTCTATTTATGTCTATTAAAACCGATTTGAGGTAATTGGTGAAGAGAGAAAAATTATATCAGCGAAGTATTATTACTTGTGCTAAGATAATTCTGGATTTGGTAAGCGAGCACATAATGGTTTCAAAATTTATTTTGGACCTCTAAAGTTAGTTTGACATTAATAAAAGAAAGTATTATGGAGTCAGCTATAAAATTTTGTTGAAAAGAAAAGTACTTAGAAAAGTCGTTTTTATTTTAAAAGGAAATTAAGGACGATTCTGGAATTGATTTATTATGCATAAATAATCCCAAAGGAAAAATAACGAACACTATTTAATCAAGCCGATAAGAATTCTTTAAATAAAGCCACTAAGAATACTTCAACAGAGATAAATGTAAATATATAGTGAAAAAAATGATAGAAAACAAATTAAAAATAATTTTCAAGCAATTTATTAAAGTGATTAGAAATTATAAAGTTTGTGAAGCCTGAGAAGACAATGACTCTTTTGAAAGTCGGGCAATAGCCGTATAGTTCTCTCCACATCATAATTAAATTTAAAGTCAATCACATTTTTACAAAATATCTTGCTGAGTTGCTATAGACTTGTGCTCGAACATTGTTTGAGTCATAAGGAAGACTTATCCTAAAGTGAGATCTAAAACAGTAAAACAAGTTTTACAAAAAGAAAAAAAGAAAAAGAAAGAAAGTAAGCTTGATTTGGCAGATTTTATTCAATAATTTAGTATGACTCGGAGTGAAACTGATCAATTATCTCTTTTATGGTCAATCAACTTCTGGGTCTATCTACATGGTGGTCTATGTTAATGATAATGTCATCACAGGTAGTGATAATCATAGGATTACTCAATTGAAGCAACATTTATATTGTCATTTTCAGACAAGGATATTGGGAAACTTCAATATTTCTTGGGAATCGAGGTGGCTCAATCTAAAGATTAAATTATGATATCTTAGAGGAAATATGCTCTTGATATTCTTGAAGAGACTGCTTTGTTATATTCTAAATTTGTTGATATCCCTATGGATCCAAGTGTTAAGCTTCTACTGAATCAGCGAGAGTCCTTTTCAGATCCTGAAAAGTATAGAAGATTGGTTGAAAAACTGAACCAACTCACAGTCACTCGGCCTAACATTTCATTTATAGTTAGTGTGGTGAGTCAGTTTCTTAATTCTCCATGTCAAGAACATTGGAATGCTGTCATTCCTATTCTCAAGTATATTAAGGAATCTCCAAGAAAAGGCCTTGAATACGAAGATAAATGTCATGTTAAAGTTGTCGGATACTGTGATGCTGATTGGGTCGGTTGTCCTACTGATAGGAGATCTAATACTGGATATTGTGTCTTTGTTGGATGCAACTTGGTTTCCTGAAAAAGTAAGAAGCAGAATGTATGTTGAAATTTATATATATATATATATATAAATTGTGTAGACAATCTATTGGTTATGAATAAGAAGTTTGGTAGTGAAATGGTGTGTCTTTTCGTCGACAAACAGATGTATCTTTTCATCCTAAATGATGTGTTGTTTCATGTGAACGGATCTGTTGTTTCATCTGAACAGCTGTGTTGTTTCATCCTAATGGATGTGTTGTTTCATCCTAACGGACATGTTGTTTCATCCTAACGGACATGTTGTTTCATCCTTGAATGGGTGCCTTTTCGTGTTGAACGAATGTGTCTTTTCGTGTCCAACGGATGTGTTGTTTCGTCGTCGTCGTCGAATAGGTGCCTTTTGAAACGTGACCGGTCAGTGTCTATAAATAGACACTGACACCTTCTTAAAATGAATCCAGTTTTCTGCACTTAAACTCTGCCGGAATTTTTCTCCTTCCGGTTTTGCATACTGTTGTTCATCCTCCGGTGTGATTTCCTCTGGCAATTGTTGTGTTCGTTTGGGCTGTTGATTGGTAGTGCCACCATTCTTCAGACGTAATCCGTTCTATCCTGGGAGACAAGTGTCCATCAACCTTAGGCATCAGTGAGGGGGCAAATTGTCTTAAGGAGACACGTTCTATGGGCTCGGATTTAATTCCTCTACTTCTGACATATCATTCTATCTGTTCTATCATTCTGCTTGCATCATCATCTGATTTCAAGTAAGTCAGTTCTTTAATTTTAATATTTATAATTGCACAGTGATAATTATGATCATCTACCTCCTCTGGTTCTATACATGGGTTCAATCTTTTAGTGATATAATATCACCCACTGTCTTCAATAACAATCTTAAGACAATTTTGGTGTTTTTGAACCTGTGATCAGTATATTCTATTTTTCGTTTTATATACTGTTTCTGTTTTATTTACTGTGTGATTAATCTGTGTTATTAATCTGTGTGATAAATTAATCTGTGTGATAAATTAATCTGTGTGATTAATTTCAGATTCTGTTTGTGTAACAGAAATGGCTACTGTAAGTACAAACAATGCCAATCTTACTGCCTCTGTTCCAATGCATGCTGATAAGCCTGAAAAATTGAATGGAACAAATTTCAAACGCTGGCAACAGAAGATGTTGTTCTATTTGACAACTCTGGGTCTGGACCGATTCCTCAAGGAAGATGCTCCTAAACTGAATGAGGGAGAAGAGTCTGACAAGGAAAAGGTTGCTGCCATTGATGCTTTTAAGCATTCTGACTTCCTTTGCAGGAACTATATTCTCAATGCTCTAGACAACTCACTGTATAATGTGTACAGTACCCTGAAGACAAGTAAGGAACTTTGGGAAAGTCTGGACAAGAAGTATAAAACTGAGGATGCTGCCTTGAAGAAATTTATAGTTGACAGATTCTTGGACTTCAAGATGGTAAACTCCAAATCTGTTGTGAGTCAAGTTGAGGAACTTCAAGTGATTGTGCATGAAATTCATGCAGAAGGAATGTCTCTTAGTGAGTCTTTCCAAGTTGCTGCTTTCATAGAGAAATTACCAAACTCTTGGAGAGACTTCAAGAATTATCTGAAGCATAAGCGCAAGGAATTGTCACTTGAAGATCTGGTTACCAGATTGAGAATAGAAGAAGACAATAAGATGTCTGACAAGAGGAATGGCAACAATTCTATGATCTCCAAGGCTAATGTAATTGAAGAGGGATCAAAGTCAAAGAAGAGGAAATATTCTGAAGATGGAAATGCTAAGCAAGGAAAGGGCAAAAAATTCAAAGGCAACTGTTTCAATTGTGGGAATCCTGGCCACCGTGCAAAGGATTGTAAGAAGGAACAAAAGAAAGATCAGAGGAAGCCACAAAAGTTCAATAAGAAGAAGAGCACTCAAGCCAATATGGTTGATATTGCTGATCAGGTTGAAGAACTGAATCTGGCAGCAGTGGTGATGGAGTGCAATCTGATTGGAGACTCCAAGGAATGGTGGGTGGACACTGGTGCCACCAGACATGTCTTTTCACACAAGGGGATGTTCTCCTCCTATACTCCTGCAGATAATAATGAGAAACTTTATATGGGTAACTCATCTACTTCAAAAGTTGAAGGTGTGGGCAAAGTGGCTTTGAAGATGACATCTGGCAAGATAGTGACACTGAATGATGTGCTCCATGTGCCTGATATTCGCAAGAACTTAGTTTCTGGATCTCTGTTAAGCAAGAATGGCTTTAAACTTGTATTTGTTTCTGATAAGTTTGTACTTACTAAGAATGATGTGTATGTAGGAAAGGGCTACCTTAGTGGGGGCCTATTCAAACTGAATGTGATGCCTGTAAACACTTCCAATATTATTAATAATACTAGTACTTCTGTTTATTTGCTTGAGTCTTCTAATCTATGGCATAATAGATTAGGACATGTTAATTTAAAGTCAATTAAGAGTTTAATTCATTTAGATTTATTACCTAAATTTGAATGTTTAAATAACAAATGCCAAGTATGTGTTGAATCAAAATTTTCGAAATTACCTTTTAAATCAGTTGACAGATCAACCGAGTTGTTAGATTTAATACATACTGATATATGTGACATGAAATCTACACCATCTAGGGGTAATAAGAAATATTTTATTACATTTATTGATGACTGCAGTAGATATTGTTATGTGTACTTACTTAATAGTAAAGATGAAGCGATTGTTGCTTTTAAGCAATATAAAAGTGAAGTTGAGAATCAAATCAACAAGAAAATTAAAATGGTAAGGAGCGATCGTGGGGGAGAATATGATGGCCCCTTCGAGGAATTCTGTATAGAGTCCGGTATTATACACCAGACAACAGCTCTTTATTCACTGCAATCAAATGGGATTGCAGAAAGGAAAAATCGGACACTGAAAGAGATGATGAATGCTATGTTAATTACGTCCGGTTTACCACAGAATTTGTGGGGGGAAGCCATGTTAACGGCTAATTATATTATTAATAGAATGCCCCACAAAAAGATAAACAGCATACCATACGATATATGGAAAGGAAAGAAGCCGTCCCTGAAATACTTTAGAGTGTGGGGGTGCTTGGCTAAGGTTGTGGTTCCTAAACATAAAAGGTTAAGAATCGGACCTAAAATCGTGGATTGTGTATTCATCGGTTATGCACTTAATAGTAGTGCTTATCGGTTTCTAGTGTATAAATCTGATGTCTCAGATATACATATTAATACGGTTATTGAATCAAGGGAAGTTACTTTCTTTGAAGACATATTTCCGTATAAGAAAATTAAACGAATCAAGTGGTAATAATGATGATCAGGTTGAGATACCTCGAGATGCTACAACTGATACTGATCCTGTAGAGGATATAGAAGATGAACCTAGACGTAGCAAGAGGCAAAGGACCGCCACATCTTTTGGACCTGATTTTATGACATATTTATTAGAAAATGAGCCTCGGACGTATAAGGAAGCTATAACGTCCCCGGAAGGACCATTCTGGGAAGAAGCTATCAATAGTGAGATAGAATCTATCTTGTCCAACCACACTTGGGAATTGGTAAATCTTCCTCCTGGCAATAAGCCTTTAGGAAGTAAGTGGGTTTTCAAAAGAAAAATGAAAGAGAATGGCACTATTGATAAATATAAAGCAAGGCTTGTGGTAAAAGGTTACAAGCAACGTGAAGGTCTCGATTATTTCGATACTTATTCACCGGTTACAAGGATCACATCCATTAGGATGTTGATCGCGGTAGCTGCATTGAATGGATTACAAATACATCAAATGGATGTTAAGACCGCCTTCTTAAACGGCGACCTGGAAGAAGAGATATATTTAGAAAAACCTGAAGGTTTTGTTGTTCCAGGACAAGAACGGAAAGTTTGTCGCTTAATAAAATCCCTTTACGGGTTAAAGCAAGCTCCAAAGCAATGGCACGAGAAATTTGACAAAGTTATGTTGTCAAATGGATTTCGAATTAATGAATGTGACAAATGTGTCTATGTTCGAAATACTGAAAAAGGTTTTGCCATTGTCTGTCTTTATGTAGACGACATGTTAATCATGGGTAGTAATAATCAAATGATTAATGCTACTAAACAATTACTTAAAAGTAAGTTTGATATGAAAGATATGGGGATAGCAGACGTTATCCTAGGTATTAAAATCCATAGAACATCTACAGGGTTGGCCTTATCACAGGCTCACTATGTAGCTAAGGTTCTTGAGAAATTCAAGAGTTTGAAAATAACTCCTGTGAGGAACCCTGTAGATTCTAATCTGAGTTTATTAAAGAACACTGGTAAAGCTACAGCACAAAAGCTATATGCTCAAGTGTTGGGAAGCCTTATGTATGTTATGAACTGCACCAGACCTGATATTGCTTATGCAGTAAGTCTGTTAAGTCGCTTTACCAGTAATCCAAATGAGAATCATTGGAAAGCTATGGTAAGAGTTTTGGGATACTTGAAGTATACTCAGAATTATGCTTTGCATTACGAGAAATACCCCGCGGTTATAGAAGGGTATTGTGATGCAAATTGGATCACCGGCTCTAACGACACTAGATCCACAAGTGGAGATGTGTTCACCCTTGGTGGAGGTGCTGTGTCTTGGAAATCGTCCAAGCAAACCTGCATTGCAAGGTCAACCATAGAAGCAGAATTTATTGCTTTAGATAAGGCCGGTGAAGAAGTCGAATGGCTTCGTAATTTTATTGAGGATGTTCCTAATTGGCCAAGACCGGTACCATCTGTATGCATACATTGTGATAGCCAAGCAGCTATTGGAAGGGCCAAGAACGTCATGTATAACAGTAAGTCTAGACACATACGTCGTAGACATGATACCGTAAGACAACTACTCTCGAATGGAATCATTTCAATTGACTATGTTAAGTCTAAGGAAAACATAGCGGATCCGTTAACCAAAGGGATTCCTAGAGAGTTGGTTGAAAATTTGTCGAAAGGAATGGGTTTAAGGCCTATCAATTGTTGAGCATTGCG